GAGCCTTTTCAAGGATATCAAACCAAATGAAATGCTAGTCAGGAACTCACCTAAGGTATGTACCCTGCATATTTTAATCTTAAAATGCAGACCAGGGCGTACTCAAGTTGGCTAGAGCAGTTTGTGTGTGTGCTCTCCCCTCTGCGCCCATATTCAAATCTCCTGTACCGCAGTTTAGATTACTTTAGAATATCGCTCGAATATGAAAAAATAAAGCTAAGAATTGGCATTGGTGTTGGATTGATTTGCAGTTTGATGTGCAAAGGAGGAATGTGGACACCAAGATTGACATATGCTGTGCAGGAAAGCCAGGGCTGTTGTTATCAACAGTGTCTACCTTGGAAGCCTTAGGCCTTGAGATTCAGCAGTGTGTGATTAGCTGCTTCAATGACTTTGCAGTGCAAGCTTCTTGCTCAGAGGTATGTGAATTGGCTTTCCAGTAATATAAATAGAATCTCTTTGTGACTTGTTTAGTTGGAGAAGTATTAAGTTAATGTTTTTATCTGGTGATTCATTGATGTCATTAAACAGGATTCTGATCAGAGAACACTGGTAACTTCTGAGGACATAAAGCAAGAATTATTTAGAAATGCAGGATATGGAGGAAGATGCGTGTAATTGCAAGAATAAAGTGGGAAGAGGAAAAGTAACAACTTTTGCGTTAAAGCTTTAGAGGAGATGGCTTTTTGTTGTAATCTCTAGACTTTCAGTGACACTTTGCTATTGAGAGGTTATATTATAATTCACCTTTTTTTTATATATTATTAAATAATTGGTGTCTTTTCATGGAGTAGCATTTGCTTCAGTAGTAGGAGATGTTAATTCATGTACAATGTATTTTGTTCTCCCGGAGTAAAAGAGTATCTTCGACATTTTAAGTGCCAAGAAAAGGCTAAAAGTAGGGTTTAGAAGCTATGTGGGAGTGAATTGACACAAATTAACCAACTTTGTATTGGTGTTGTTGGTTGTTGATTGCAAATAAAATTAGTTGGAGAAGGGGATGTAATGATGATGTAAGAAAGCTTTTCTATGGATGTAGTTGTAGATTGTTGCCTACAGATTCCTATGTGGATATACTATTTTGCATACGAGATTAAATTTTTTGTGATTTTTTTGTGATTTATCTTATTTGTTTGACACTTGGTCATTCATTTAAATTTCAATTAACAGTTTTAACTCTTCAACTTATCTCTTTGATAAAAAAATTAAAAACGAAAGATAAATTAAGTCAAAATGACATATATTACTCAAATAGATAAGACACGGAGAGGTCGCAAAGAATTTTAAGTGCAAAAGATTTGAATGCTTTGCATACAAAGAGCAGATGTAGACAGATTATTCTTATTGTTTATAATTTAATTTTGCTTTTGGCTTTTTCTTTTTGTTTCATTGGGGTGGAATAGAGTCATGAAACGAAGGTACCATCTTATGCAAAAAGGATATAGCTATTCACACATTTAATTTTATTTTTCACACATTTTTGTTAATTTTTTGTTATTTATATTTTTTTTATTTTATTCAATCCAACTGCCTAAAGCAAGAAGTGTGTGAGAAGTAAAAAAATGTACATAGATAACACTACTCGTGTTGAAATCATTATATTTGGAATGTGATATAAAGAAATTTAGTTTTTTACTGTTGGGACCAACCTTCTTAGCCCAAAATAATAAGCCCAAATTAGTATTCCTTGACTTTGTAATGGGTCTAGGCCCAGTAGGGTTTCCATTTCCTTTTTTTTTTTTTTTTTTGTAAACAATTAATTAATTTTGTTATATTAGTCACCAACGAAGTTTGAACCCACGCATTCATGCAAGGGCTTGACTTATTTCCACCACTGTGGTAAATGACCACTTACTTCCATTTCCTAATTAAATGTTCTAAAAGCTATATAGCTGCTATGTTAATAATTTTGTTGCCTCCCTTAGTCTAGTTGTCTTTTTATTTTTTATCCTTTAGTTGTTGAAGAATGATATTTTTCATTTGAATATTTTATTTTGGATAGTGCTAGGAGAACAAATTTTTAAATCAAATTTGCAAACTGAATGACGTGTCACCAATATAAAATAAGCACGTTAAGCAACACTTAAGTAATAATTAAATCATCCACTACCACATCATTTGATTCATATATTTTGGTTTAAGAATTTGATATACCTAGCATTAAACTATGTTGCAGGTATACCCACGGAAAAAATGAGCATAGCATGGTTCAACAAATGCTGAAACATTTTACTCTGATCCTAAATTCCACAAAGTATTTCAAAAATTTTGTTATAACTTCATAGTTAAGAATCGTCGTCTCCTTTGCTATAAGATGACACCCTTTTATACGACATTTCCATTTTCATGAGGAGGTCCTTATGGGGAAACAAGATACATGGATACGTCGACAAGGTTTTGGAGTGCCACTAACAATTCTCTTATTAAATTGTAAAAAAAATGATAATTTTGTCTATTATCCTTGCTGATTATTGGAATTTTGAATTTCATTGCATGTAAAAACCAACAATTTGATTGGGTGGCTATTTATTTATTTATTTTGCAGACTTACGAAGCAGGATTGGGCATTGAAAAATAACTTCAATATCTGCAAAATTTGCCTGTAATTCCATTACGTAATTATCTGAACATTATTTTAAAGTATTTTTTCTCAACACTTCGATAATATATTATGTCCGTTAGATAGTTAATTTACACCAATACTTTTGTTTTTGTTCGGTTTGGGAGATTTTAAGGATGTCGCTGGATCATGATAATATTATAGAAATAGAGGTTGAGTCACTTCCATGATGTTATAGATAATGGATGGTTATGAAACGCCAATATCATAAATTTGATGTTTTGATTGGTCTAAATAGTAGTTCGTCCAAGACACACTCATGGTAATAGTGGAAATACAATGCAGAAACATAAAGAAATAGCCGAACATTGAGAAAGTTGCTTTAGATGCATATTTATCACTTGGATGTTGCTGAATCGAATATATGCTTAAATTAGCCAATATAGACAATTCATACTAGATAGTGTGCATATACAGATGTACTGTCGAAGAGAATATTAGAGTTATATTTGTATATGTAAAGCAACCACAACAGGCTTTGAATATATAAATTTATCAAAATCCAATTTTTGTACGTAGCTCATCAGTAAGTGGTCATTTATCATAGTGGTAGAAAGGTATTGAGCCCTTGCATAATGGTGTGGGTTCAAATCTCGTCGTGGCTAATCTAGCAAAATCTATTATTTGACAACAAAAAAAACAAAATTTGTAGCTCATCACATTTATGAATAACCGAGGGTCACATCACAGTGAAAATATATTGTGATATGTGACCCTTGACATATTTTGCCTTTGAAATAGTATTGATTAAGTAAACGGTAATAACACCCAATATGAGTTATACTCATAATTTGGGTATGTTCAATTAGTAATGTTTTAAAAGGCGCTAGGCCCTAATTAGGTAGCGGGCATGAATCTAGCGCCTAGGCAGGGGCTTAGGCAGTTTTCTAATTTTAATTGTTTACTCGTTCCAACCTCCTCCCTTAAGTATTCGATTCTTTGGAAATCAAGAATCGCATTCTAAATTTTGAGTGGGACTCGCATCACTTTTCATTCTCCTTGGTAAGTAAACGTAAGGTTCATCCATAATAGGAATGAATCGCATTCTTGACATTCCTATTATCCTTATTTAAACATGCCCTTAAAAAGACTTGATTTGAAATGATAGTTTTCTTTGAGGCTGCTCTTTTGAGAGATTGGTTTTTGATTCAACTTGTTTGAGCTCTTCCCTTTGCCTTTGGTGGCTCCACAAGATCTTCATAAATACTCATTCAAAATAATTGAATATTGTGGCTGATGACCAAAAGCTCTCATATCCACATGAAATTTTATCTCGCAATTATTATTTTGCCCGCAGTTATCCTCAAGGTTTTCGAGCAACAAGTCAATATAGACATAACATCTCCTATCGTAGAACTCATGCGAATTGCAAGTTATGGTCCAAACGGGGTGAGCTTCATTTGAAAAGTGTGGGTGTCAATAAAGGAGGAATTATCTCCTGCGTAGTTGGGTTGTGCATATGGATCTGTATTGACAACATATTTCCACCATAATGACAAGCATAATGACGATACAGTATTATATGTTATGTGGCGGAAATACATAATCAGTATGAGTTTTATAAGGACACCAACATACGTAACCTATAAAAACAATCCGCGTGTGCATAAAAGAATTTTTGGTTGATAACGACACCAACTTGCATTTGGACCTTGTGTTATGTATGTGATAGAACTGTTTTTTTTTTTTTTTTTAAGTAAAAAAAAAACAAAAACAAGATAGCTAGTTATTTACCCCAAATCTGTCTTAAATTCAGAGATAGAACTAGGGATTTTGAGTACCAGATGGAGAATTATTATTATTGTACCTCTGATTACTAGATCAATTTTGAACAATCAGAATGGAGAAGAATTAGATGTCTGCAAATCAGCAAGGTCATTTTTCAAGAGGAGATCCTCTCCGGATCTCTTCCACCAAGGCCATCGGATCAAGTGATCCGAGCCTTTAAAATTTCATCCAACAGCGTCTGAATCACTTGATCCTGTGGTCTTGGTGAAGTACATTCAAAGAGAATCTCTTCTCATTTTCCAAAGGTTGGTTTGCATTAGAAGAGTACAAAAACAGCATGAAATGTACCACAAAAGAATTGGAAAGTACAAAGCTGCATTTGTACGAAGCAATTTCGAATAATCAAACTGTACCACATTTACATTGTAGTACATTTAAATCCACTTGTGTAATTTGTTTTCTTTTATATGTATGGTTAAACAAGAAGATTTGTACTAGAGAGACCCCTTTGTTCATGTAGTACAATGGAGTGAAAGTAGTACACAACTAAGTTCTAAGTTGTGCTATATATTAGCAGGGTAAGGCAGGGAAGTTGTACAGAAATAAGTCTAGAGCCATCTCGAAGAGAACAAGTGTTCCAGTATATGCCAAAGCGGTAGAGGGGTTCTGCAGGAGTGACCTGAGATCACATATGGCGTTATGTGTTGCGCTTGATGTGTTCTCAGGTCGCCCCTGCGGTACCTTCTCTACCACATGAATGCACTGCTATTGATCTGAATGGACACTCATGACGGACCTGAGGTGCTACATCGAAAGGTGAGAAAGTTCTATCATGTTTCGGTGTATTGAAAAATGTAAGAAACATTACAAACTTTACTCTCGACTACATGCATCGATTGTTCTACCACTACTGTAACAGAAATTTGAATCTCATACTGTAAGTACGTGTTGGTGCTCACAAAAGAAAGTCAAATCTATTCCTACCTGGATAAATCAGTGACTAAATCAATATGTCCTTACAGCAGACTTGATGGCTAGTAGCTCTCCTTCTCCAACTTTCTGAGGATAAAACATAAGTTATCTTGGTAGACTGATGATGTTGCTTATCCAGATTGAATATTCATACTCTGAGCATTATTTGACTGTCATTTGATCTTTATACTGCCATGTTACTATTATAGTTCATGCCAGAGAATACAGTATGAATTGACCAGCAGTCTGTCGTAATCCAGTCAAGCATATTGTTCAACTATACAATTGAGAAATTTGAGAGTGAAACTACAGTAATAACTCTATTACTCTAATTATTGCACACAGTTAGAGTTTGCTTATTTATAATTACATCTTAATACGTTCTTACTCTTCAGGGGTGTTATTACTGTAGAGGGTCACCTGAGTTATACAAATGCATAGAGTCACCCTATGAGTTTAATTGGATATGTTATTACTATTGCAGCAGTTTGCTATTATCCCCTATGTACTCAATAATCAAGTATACAGTCTACAATTTATCAACAGTATAACTCATCATCTAGCTCTTTTCCACTCTCCCATGTAAATGGGTCTCGAGTTTGTTTATTGTAATTCGTTGATTGAAATGTTGATAGTTATGTCTGAAAATTTGAGAAGAAATTCTCTCTGAGTCTCTTCTAAAAAAAATTAGCTCAAAAAAAAATAAACCCAATCATTACAGAGAGGTTTGAAAAGAATGAGGATTCTCTTCGGATCCTCTTTGTGAGGATCTTAGAGTTCCTTAAATCGTGTTCGTTTATCGAACATCGTATGGTCAGAAATCATTTTAAATATTGTTATTTAAAATTAAATACGAATTGTATATGACGAAAATTGACCACACGATATACGATGAACAGACATAATTTAAGGATCTTTACTCCTCACAAAAAAGATCTGAAGATGATCCTCATTCGTTTGAAAAAACCAAATGGTATTTTTTTTTAAATATCAGAAAAACTCATAAATGAAATCTGATATTTGAATTGAATGGCCTATCTGATGCTTATTAAATTCAAATATCAAAAAGAGGGCTCTGTAATGTAATCTGCAAATTTTGAACACATAAGTTATAAAATACCATTCGAAGGTTCTACTCTGTAAAATGTCAGTACTTCACTCCATTTTTACTAGGTGTACACGTGTGTGTACCCTTATGGCATGTTTACGTAAGGGTAATCGGAATAAAGAAATTGAATTGAATTTCGATTACAGAGTATTCCGGTGTTTACTAAATATTAAGGAATCAAAAAAGTGGTGGAGCCCACACGAGACAAGGAATCCAATTCCTGAAATTGGAGGAACCGGATTCCCTAGTTTTGTGAGGTATTTGAATTCCCTGAGGGCAAGGGAATCGGGAATGCATCTTTTATTCCAATTATGCCCTCACTTGTTTCTTATTATCCCAACATTGCCCTTCATTTGACACTCATTATATCATTTTTAATAAATAAATAAAACCTATTTATATATTTTTATATAGATAATTTTATTATATAAATTTAATTAAGAATTTAATTTAATTAATTAGTATGAAAATAATTTATTTATGTAAGGGCAATTTAGTCATCAACTTAGTTTTCATTCCGATTTAAGTGAATTAGTAAACAACTTATATAGACTCAACATCATTCTTGCCATCTTTTAATAAATAAATAAAACCTATTTATACATGCTTATATAGATGAATTTTATTATATACATTTAATTAAGAATTTAATTTAATTAATTAGTATGAAAATAATTTATTTATGTAAGGGCAATATAGTAATCAACCTAGTTTTCATTCCGATTGAAATGAATTAGTAAACAACTTATATGGACTCAACATCATTCCTACTCCGATTTCTGACAATTTTAGTAAACAACTTCAACAGGAATCAGATTCTGATTCCACCTCATTTCAATTCCTCCTCAATCCAATTCCCCCTCAATCCAATTCCTCTCAATTTGATTACGGATTAGTAAACGCGACATTAGTTTTCAAATTGACCTGCTTTTACATAAGTGTTCAAAATTCAGAGGTTACTCAATTTCATGTTTCAAATTGTATCTGAATTGCAGTCCATCACTCCATTGGAATGCTTGAGTGCTCCAGTGTATGAATTTTCTTTCAAGCAATATCTGAATTGCTAGAGTGCTTCAATGTTTGAATTTGAATTTGTTTTCAAATTGTTGTCGGTTTTAGTTTTCATTTTGTTTGTTATACCTTTCACATTTCTTTCATTTTTACTCATTTATCTCATATATATTTCTTTTATTTATAGGACAAAAAAAATAATAGTTAAAAAATGAAAACAAATATAAATGATGTTTTACTGCAGTAGCGGGCACTTATGCGCATGCATTCTATTACAAGTTCAATCTCCACTAATCTCTTTCCTTCATAATAATTAATAATTTAATCCACGTTTGCCAAAAAAAAAAGAAAACTAATTAAAAGGGTTTGGAAACTTTGAGTTTTAATGATAAGGACAAAATAAAGGATAAAGTGAATAGTATCAGGATTGATTTTTTAGTGTAAAAATGTGGTTTTTCGTTAAAGTGAACAGTACCGGGGGCTTTTCGTTAAAGTTCCCAAAAAAAAAAATTGTTATCAAGCCCTGTTCTTCGAAGCGGTTACCCAGGCCTTGATGGAGTAAGTACTGATTTGATATCAATGTACTTTTATTAAAAAAAAAGGGTATAAAAAAAAAACTGAGTTCAAAAAAGTGTTTGGTAAACTCTTAAAAATAGCTTATTTTCACTGTTTTGGGTAAAAAAAAGTTGTAAACGTGAAGCAGCTAAAATGAGTTTATTCTCACAGCACAGCAGAAGCAGTTTTTTTTTTCAAAGCACAGCAATATCAAATCAACCCTAAGCACAGTGGGTTATTTGCTCATCTTTAGGACTGCAAGTCTCATGTCAACCTCCAACGTCCAAGGGGTTCTAACTCTGCAAGGCCTCGCTTTGGGATTTGGATCTTCGCTGGATCCCCTCCCTAGGGATCCTAGGGATCAACGAACACGAACCATTGATCAAAAATTGTGCGGTCCCAATTAAATATTTTTTATATTTTTAAAAGTAAAACAACATCGTTTTGCGTGAAAAATATAAAAAAGGAAAAAATTGTGGCCACATAATTTTTTATCAATGGTTGTATTCGTTGATCTTTAAGATCCCCAACAAGGGGATCCGGCGAGGATCCAAATCCCTCGCTTTGTTTCATAAGTGGAAGTCAATGCGGCTCAATTTATGGGAGTTGAGAGGGACAAGGACCTAATATTTTCAAGACCCACCCATCATCCATGTTATATAATATGTGGATGAGGATCCTATCCGGATCCTCTTTGTGAGGATCCTAAGAATCTTCATATTATGATCGTTTATCGTATGTCGTGTAGTTAATTTTCGTTATGTATTATTTGTGTTTAATTTTAAATAAAAAAATTTCAAATGATTCATGACCGCATGATATACAATAAACAATTAGGATGTGAGGATCTCAAAGATCTCTACAATTTAAATCCAGATGAAATCCAAATCCATATAATATAATATTATAATGTAATATAATAATGATTCCACCATTATTTTATCTGTAACTTTACAGGACCCACACATTTCTCTGGTTAATACTTTGTAACAAAAAGAGAAAAAAAATTCTCATTTTTATGGGGAAGGAAAACTTCAGTATGAAAATTGGATTACTTTCTATCTAGGCACCACTCCTTTTCACGAAAAATATTTAGTATACACGGAACATGATTTAGTATATAACATATCATAATATAATAAAAGGGACACTAAAAAAAATTTCTTCATTTATACTATAACATGTTATGTACCGACTTATCTTTTGGGTACCTATAAAAATCTATCCTCTCTCACAAACCCCATGCATTTGGAGAACAATTCCTTGTCACATAGTTTTTCAGTTAATAACACATTCTCATGTATAAGCTTTTTTTACATGAAAACATATTAAATTGAGATGCTATGACATCTCTGAATTTATTTCGTATAAGCTGCTTTCCTATATTCGACTTTGCTAATGTTGACATGACAATTTCTTAATGACTTGCCCTACATACTAAACCACATAACGTGCCTACCCAAGTTTTTTTCCTTGGGGAAATATGGCAACTGTGTAATTAGCAATGTTATTGATCACACTGTGAAAGCAATAGCGTGGGAGTGAACAAGAAATCGTGAATTATGCTTCTCTTACATGCGGAGATTGCTGAAACACAAAGAAATGGTTGTACAGCAGCCGCTTCATTCATCTGCTGCAATGCGACAGGTGTTGTATAACAAGCAATATGGGAAATAAGGAAAGGGATACTTTTCCGATCTCTTTCCTCTAATTCACCAAATTAGTAAATTCGTGTCATTGAATTTTAATCCAACGATTATAAACAATGTCTCATTTTAAAAATTATAATAATTTCAACCGTTTGATCAAATTTCAATGATACGAATCCACACATTTGGTAGATTAGAAGGAAAAGATTCCTTTCTGAAAAATAATGCAAGGATAGGAGAACGTCTTTTCATACATATGCTGCAATGTGACAGGTTCTAAATATCTAATCGAGAAATGACAACCATTCTTTGTTTTTTTTCATGGTGACCCTTTTTTTACTTTTTAATTATTAAATTAAGCAAATCAAAGGAAAACAAATATAATTAAACAAGACGTCCCCATTTCTGAAACAGTGCACTTATGAGTATCCGGATCTTTTTCTTAAGGATCCTAGGATCACGTGATCTCATCTGTTCATTATATATTTGCAGTTATAAATTATTTCAAAATTTAATACTTAGCATTAAATATAAATAGTATTTAATAAAATTAATCATATAATATATGATGAACGAATAAGATTATAAAATTCCTAAAATCCTTAGAAAAAGATCTGGCGGAGATCCTTTTCCCAAGTATCCTTTTAGTTTTAAGTCTAATGACAACTTTTTCAAAATTTCATTCATGTCTACCGACTATCAGCCAACAGTGGAAAATTCGTTTGGATATGTAATTAGCATCGTTATCATTTCAATTTTATTAGACGAGCGACGTTTACCTGCACAATCTATATCCTCAACTAATATTTAATAAGATTGATTTTCAGAAACATTGGCAGATTACTTCTGTTCCGCATCAGATCTAAACTCATTCTAGATTAGATGAGAGAGGGAAGTTTATTTTTTGGTTGAAATTTGGGTAAATTATACTTTATCACCTCAGGTTTAAGGTCTATTACAATCTTATACAAAATCTTCAAAACATTTCACTTTCATATCTCAAGTACTATTTTATTTCGATATAATACGTCTGTTACATTTTCCATCCATTGATCCGTTAAAAGCTGACGTGGTTGCCAAATTTATGTCACGTGACAAAAAAAAATTATTAGCCTATTGAAAAAAAAAATTAAAAAAAAATTTGAAAGCCCAGAAATCCATTCCCCCGACCACCTCCCTCTCCTCCTTCCATTTCCCTCATTTCCTACAACCCTAGCACCGTTTCTCTCTCATTTCTCTCAAATTCAAGAGACTTCTTTTTCTATTTCTCTCAACCTAGCCCCAGCGCCGCTCACCCCATTCCTCTTCATCATCTTAGTTAAATCCGTCAAACAATCACTGATGCACCTCCACACGAACCCAGCTCAAATTTTCCTCCATCGTCTTGCTGCCCACAAACCAACCTCCATTTCGTGGATCCACCGTCCTTGCAAGTCGCCAACACCCACAAATGAACTCAGATCCGACGATCCAAAGTATGGCAGAGCTCTCGAAGATGTCAAAATTTGAGAAGGGAAAAGGTAAAGTTTCGTACTTTAGTGTTTGATTCTGAAGTAGATTGAATTTTCACTCTCTCTGATCAAATTCTTCTCCTTCCCAAATTTTCTACTCATATCTCAAAAATTTCAGGAGCGAAGCGAAATTTAAAATGCGCAAACTCTGCTTCCAGGCCTCCCGGAAACGCTTGCAGCTCAATCCTCAGAACTGATTTATGAATTTTGGATGAATTGCTTTTGAAAATGCCGAAAATTAATTGTTTTGTTGGAGTCCGATTGATTTCGGAGAAATCCAGCGGTGGTTTTAAAATTTGTATAGAGGGACTTAGATGACAGGTTTTGGGTTGGTTTGGGGAGATTTTTGTATAGAGGGATTTAGATTTGGGGGAGGGAGGTGCGTGGAGAGGGAGGGATGAAAGGTGCAGGGAGGGAAGGAGGCAAGGGATGAAGATTATAGGGTAGGGTGGGGTGGGTTTTTGGATGGGAGGGGAGGTGAAGAGAGTGGAGGGGAGGGAGGTCGTTGGGGGAATGGGTTTCTGGATTTTCAATTTTTTTTATTTTTTCTCAATAGGGTAATAAAAATTATTATTTTTGCCACGTCGCATAAATTTGGCAGCCACATGGCACAAATGTGGCAACCACGTCAGCTTTTAACAGATCAATTGATGGAAAATGTAACGGATTGAAATAAAATAGTACTTGAGGTATGAAAATGAAATGTTTTGAAGATTTTTTATGAGGTTACAATAGATTTCAAACTTGAGGTGGTAAAGTGTAATTTATCCTTGAAATTTTTTGACACTTGCATGAGTGTGTGAATAGCTCGATTGTCTTTGAGTAGAAGTAGCTCTCATGCTAAAGTAGTTTATTGGTTGTATTCTTCTATGTGTTTAGAAATTACAATGCCTACATGTCGGGCATGCCGAATAATTATAAGCTGATTATGTCTTCTTCTTTTTTTTGTGAATACAGGCGTGCCAACTCGCAAATGAGCTCAGTAGAGTGAGTAGAATAGATATGGTGGTGGCTATTGAATGCGCTGTTGACTTCTATACTAAAGGGACTACAACCGAAGAAGGAACATGTCTTGCCTTGGGTTCTAGAACCTAAAGACAATGGTACCTAGATCACGGAGAAATTCAATAACTAGCTTAGCTTTCACTGTGACGAACAAGGGTAACTTGTAACATCTCACTTCGCCGAGAAAGCTTTGAGATGACCTCTTTAGGATAATTGGAAACTCTTCGTCTGCCAAGTCTTGAATAGGTACCAAATTAACTAGAAGTAGTGATGTTCACTTGTTCAAACTGAATATGCTCCTAAATCACTTGATTGTACGACTCCAGTGATGTTCACGAACTGAGTGTGAAAAGTGTTTTGCGTAGAGTGTTTGAATTGTTTATTGTGTTGAAAGGGGGTTTTCTCATGTTGCACGATGTATTATATTTATAGGATTGAATTGCTCAGTCATGCAGCTCTCCCTGATAATACCAATCATTTTAACGCTGACTAATTTCAGATTAAAAATCATGTGGTCCTTATCATGCTTCTTAATCAGAAGACTTTCTTTTCCACCTTGTTTGTCCATATGCATCCATGCAATCATAAAGCAAATTAGCATAAAATTGCAATCCTACCTCTGAACCATTATCCCACGTTTTTCCATCCTTATTTGTTTACCAATTCAATCCTTTATCCAAACGTTACTCACCAAACCATTAGCAATAGCATGCATGGCATGCATGATCTTAGGCTCCTAATTAGGTGGCCTCGACCTCACATTCTGTTCCAACCAACATCTTACAAATCTCAACCAATCCCGACTAAATTTGGATTATACCAATATCCTAAATCAAATGTGATTGCCCTCAAACACCTTGTCCAGGTAATTATCAATAAAATATTAGGATAATCCCAATTATTTGGAAGATAATTATTATGGTTATCACAACCATAACAATATAAAATAATTAAAAATCATCATAATATTTCTCTCATCCAACGGCCTAAAACTATGTTCATTCAATGGTAGTGTAGGGTTAAACAATGCTAGTGTAGGGTTAAACACATATTTCTGCTATAAAAAAAATGGTAAATGTTGCCTAAGTCATATTGCTCTCCATCAAAACTTTTACATGCTTGGGGTTCCTAATGAGCACTCGTGCTTAGCCACATGATTACTATACAAAGGAGAAACAAAACATTTGCCATGTGTACTGGATCGTGATCGTAATAATTACTTAAATAATATCCTTTTGATAGGGTCGTGTAAAATGTAAATGACAACAAGTGGGGCAGACTGGGCAGTAACATCAACGTAGAAATATGACTCTTTTCCCTAGCCGCCACGACCGCCACCACGGCTTGGCAAATTACCATCATCGCCATGGGAATTCTTCAGAGGCTCAGGTGGGCTCACCGTCATAAGGGCTTCACTAGAATTGAATTAGAGTTCATTTCGGGAGTATTAAAAACTAACTTCTTGTACAGACATGTTGGTTGATAGAGGCGAGCTTACCAGCGATATACTTTGACATGTTGGAGATACGCATCAACAGTGTGAGACTACCACTACAAGAAAACATGGTTGTGAAGGGATTCTTTGTGACACACGAAAATTTGTCACATAAAATAGAGTATGTGAGGATTTTTAAACGTTCATGTGATTCGTGGCCAAATGATTCTCCAACATCTGTCATTCATCACACTTTTGAGCATTATATATGACGATTAAAGTAGTCATCACATATTGACATTTTATTTTTTTAGGTAATGACCAACTTTTCACTTAATTTTTTTTAGACAACTTATGGTATTAAAAGCAGGAAATAAATATTAGCAATTTACTAAAACTCTAAAGAAAATTTTATTTGAACCTATATAACCCCTCTTTACATATAATATCTCAGGGTGACAAATCAAATCGTCACATTAGGCAGACTATGTACAAACATAACAAAGGGATGTGCTCATTTACTCTTACCTGAAATAGACTCTTCCATCACCTCAACACCGGCCATTCACCGATTCTCATTCTCCTTCTCCTGTCGTCAACTCTCGCAGTGTTCTCCTTCTCCAATCGAACCCCATGACTCAGTCAGATCCCATATCTCTCCGTATCTCACCCCGCACTTATCTCTAACCTCTCTCTCCCGCTTCGCCTTCCAACACTTTCTGCCGTATGACCACTAGAAAGGGTGACAAATTAGACTTGCGGAGATTGGCTTCGCCAACAACATAGATTTGGGGGGTGTTGTTGAAGACAATCTCAGACATCCTTGTTGGTGTCGTAACCGATAGTAAGAGTAAGAAGGGACTTAGAGATGACACTCGTGATATAAATAATAACCAATTGATCTTGTTGAATTCAAAGATAATAGTCATGATTGCGAATATGAGGAATATGTTCGTTTTCTTTGGCTTGCGTTTAGGGTCGGCAATTTGAGATGGAGGGAGAAGGTGAGAGCTATCCACAAATTTTCAAAGATCTAGGCCAGTAAGACAGGGCTTCATCTGACGAAGCCATGGGAGGTAGTTGGTTTCGATGAGTTGGGCAAAGTGGGTGGTGTTAGAGCTAGAGAGGGATGAAAAAAAAATGAGAAGATGCAAGAAACCCTAGAGAGCTAAGGGAGAGGGGCCGGCCGGAGGGTGGACGAAAATTTTGAAAAATCCTACGATTGGCTAATACCCGGTAGAATTATGACTCTTTTTATTAATCAATGAATAATAGAACAATAGGGTTATAACAATTTTTATTGTGAAAGAAATCCTACACTAATTACAATTGGTAATTACTTGATCATACGAAAAAGGTAACTAAAAAATAGATTTTGAAGTTAAGGATTCTACTCTAACAATCAAAACACAAAGTAACTTATAGGGCAAATGCAGGTGACATAATATAATCAAGATTCAAGGACTTTAATGTAAACTAAGGCAACAAACATCTCACATCTGAATAATTAGTGCATGTATACGATTCTTATAGTACTTCTTTGTTCATTTTCTAATACCTGGCAAGCTAGGTAGCCATAAACTTCTATGATCAATTCCATCCATGGGTCAGTGCTTTCCTTGTCAACATTTAAGTGATTATTAGTGGCCTCAACGTTACGTAAGTTTATGCAGTGTGGTTCATCAATCATCTAGACGATCTGGCTAGCAAGCAAATGATTGATTTGGATAAAGTACTTCTCTGTTGTTACGCAATATCAATCATATATAAAACATACTATAAAAGATCATTTAATCATTTGTAGATATATATAAAACAAATTAACAGTATTTGTATCGAGTGATATATTCATGACAAACTCTATTTATTCATCAAATAACATTTATAAAACAAACAGTTTCGATTATAAAATTTAACTTGGTGCTATATTAAAATCTTTTAACTTTCCTTTGTGTATTAGTTCACTTCATCTATTTTAAAAGAGTAGAGTCGTATATCATCTTATATGTTGTTGTGGCGCATATATATGATATTTAACAACCTTTGACAATTGAATTTTCTATCAATCGGCACATACTTAGATAAACTATAATAATAAATAAAATCATTGTAGTCTTTAAACCACTAAGCCCTAAATCATATATCTGTGTTGATCATCCTATCTAGTAAGACTCATGTCTTGATTAGATTCGATCGCAATACACTTACTATTACTTTACTGATTTTGATTAGTTCTACTTTGTTCAACAATTCATATTTTCTTACCTAAACCGCCAAAAGAAACTTTCCCCCTTTATGTTTTTTAATCGATGATATTACATGCTTTTTCAGAACCTAAATTGTGTCCCTTTCCGTACTGAATCACGTAATAGAGTACTAGTAAAGCGTACAAGCACTAGTGCCACTATCACATATATATTATACTAAGACCCAACCCACCCACAGACACCCACATCTAATCTCCATCTCATCCCCAACAAAATTATCATAAGCAGCACTTACACACTTTGCATATATAAATCAAAACCCACCTGATCATTCATTACTGCTTTTTTAGGTCATAAAAAACCCAGAGGAGAAAGGAAGCAGTAGGCAAGTATGGAGCAAAACGACGAAGTTTCAACTCCATCTCTAGATTTTCCTGTTGGCTTGGCGCTGCTTCTGTTGCTGTTATTGAGCGTCAGTACCTTCTTCTTGTGTTGCCTTCATTGGGACAAGGTTCGGTCTCTATTTCTATCCTCTGTGGAAGAAGGCAACCCTGACGATCATATCCTGCCAGACTTTGATCAGAAACCTACTCGTCCAAACATGGTACGTACGTACGTACGTAAAGTTAATCTGTGCCTGATTTATTTATAAAAATTAAAAGTGTTGTGTTTTGATTGGTTTTAATTGGTACTTTATGTGATAGATGGAAAAGCAAAATCAGCAGAAGAGCCTGACAGTGCTGATGCCTGGAGAACAGGTGCCCAAGTTCATAGCAATTGCTTGTCCATGTCAGCCTCCGGTAATGGAGAAGCTTTCTGTGGTTGTGCAGAAGCCTACCCTTTTTCAGTGATGATGCTACTGTATATAACTGGTTATACTGAGTAGTGATACCTCCTCAGTTCAAGTTAGTTTTGTTCTGTTTTTAGCATTTTGGAGTACTCAACAGTTGAAAATTGTAGAGGAAGTATATATCGTTTTATACTCGAAACATTATACTGCGGATCAATTACATATAGTTTGAGGCTTGAGCATAACCTTAACTTCCCTTTTTGTTCTTAATTTTGGTTACTTAATTAGATTTGTTATTTCTTAAATACATGAAAATCAACCAGGAGGCTTTTAGTGATATATTAAATGATTTTAATTTAATTTATCCCAAGATTTGAATTTAAGATCACTTACAAGTGAAAAATAATATTATCAGACGTGGTATTAAGCACCTAAACCAGTAATAACTAAATGATTGTTAAATGGTTCAAATCATGAGATAACACCGTGATCGTCTAGTCCTTTGGTCACAGTTAAATATACTTTCAATTTGAGAACTTCTCAGCGTTTTTAAGATCCTTCAAATTTGTAAAACTAAAGATGCATCAGTAGTTTTTCCTCCGAGAATTCGAAGTTGGCCTACCAGTTAACCGGAACATAAACCATAAGCGAATCAAGTCAATCAACATAATGTAGAAAGTGCGTGGCTGTAAGTTTTCACAGAAAACTTAATCTTGTATTTGGTTTGTTTATTTTCCTCATGTAATAGTTTTATTTTTTATTTTTTAATTGTTTAAAAAAATAGGACTAGCTAATAACTTCGTCATGATAATCCACAATTCTAGATCATGTAATAGTTTTTAGAGTTCCTAGAGGATCTCTGTAAGTTGTGTTTCTTCATCTTTCAAACAAAATCAAAAGGAACGAGCCCAACCAAGTGGGTTGATAGCATATTATTATCTCCTCCCCATGTGTTCCCAGTAGTCAAGGCACTTTGCCCGGAATTAGATGCTAAGGTATTAGATACTGTTCTATACCCCTACTCGCAAAGCCATCATTAAATTTCTCTAGCCGACCTCTTA